GTAATATTATAAGTTGCAAAGAATGAGGGTTTTCTGAAATGTTCCCCGTGAGATGGCAGCGCTGTAGTGTCAGGTCCAACTACCTGTCAAAACACTTACACGATTTATATTTTTCGATCATTTTTTTTGGTTTATTTATCCTTAAAAACGTTACAAACAGAATATTGTTTTCCAAAATGCCACAGTGTTGTGCAGTGCCTATGTGTGCAAATAAAAAAGGAGGGCATAAGTTCCCTACAGAAGATAAAAACCGATTAAAACAGTGGCTTGTAGCCATTCGCAGAGATAAATTTACTCCAACGAAAAATAGCCTCGTTTGCAAAAGCCACTTCACAAAGGATGATTACCAGCTACCGAAGGACTCAGTATTAGAAAAACGTAAGAATATTTTGTACTTATTTATAATGATAAGCTTCAGTTAAGTCACCTTGATTATATCTGTGCGCGACTAACCTTCAATGATGTAGTGTAAACGTTTTTTAGTACTTGCCTTATCAAAAATGATTTCATTATGACATTATATTTATTGAATTATTATTCCAGCCAGGCCTGTGTTGAAAAAATGTGCAGTGCCAAGTCGATTCCCATGGATTGACCAAAATTCTAGTTTGCATCAAAAAAAGAAGGAGCGGCATCAAAGGCGTTTGGCGCGAAATGAAAGGAAAATTAGTGTCCAAGTACACATAAACAATGAAAAAGAGAAGGATGACACCTTCCTCATGGAAACTACAAACTTTTTTCGAAGTAGAAATTGAATTCGAGAAGAAACAGAATGATGTTGGTATCCAATGTGATTTATGTGGAAGTGATAATCTCAAAACACTTAAAGAATGTCTTCAAAATGAAAATAAAAATAAAAAATCTTCAATTGCAAATGTGCTAGATATAACCAATGCGGCCGAAGTACAGTTTTATACTGGTTTCCAAGATTATGAACATATCAAATTCATATTTAGTATTTTTGGAGATGAAGTAAATTGTTTAAAATATTATCCTCAACTGAAAACATTGAAGGTGCCGTTTCTAAACCCTTGTGATCAATTCCTTCTAGTGTTAATTAAATTACGCCGGAACATGCTATTTACAGAACTCGCCTTTCGATCGAAGATTAATAAAACGGTACTAAGTAACATTTTCATAACATGGATCAATTACTTATATTGTAAATTGAAAGAGTTAAATGTTTGGGTGCCAAAACAATGCATAGATAAAAATATGAAATACTATGGCAAGATTAATCCATGCACTGTGATAGTAGATTGCACGGAAATAAAAATAGAGAAGCCCAAAAATCCACTTACACAACAGCTTACATATTCCACTTACAAATCAGCAAATACTCTAAAAGTTTTAATTGGGATTTCAGCATCAGGCTGCGTTACATTTGTATCCGATGCATATGGTGGATCTACGAGTGATCGTGAATTGTTTGAAAAATGTGGACTTATTGATAAACTTGAACCTAATGATATCATTTTTAGTGACCGTGGCTTTAATGTACAAGACCTAGTGTGCCATAAAGATGTTACAGTTAATGTGCCAGAATTTTTAAAAAATACTGATGGACAATTTGAGACTTCTCAACTGACAAGGTCAAAAAATATATCTTCAGAACGGATACACGTTGAAAGGGTCATTGGTTTGGCTAAAACTTTTAAGATCTTAAGCGGCAAGTTGGATTCAAAATTGGTGCCTTTAGCAGATAGAATAATATTTGTATGTTTTATGTTAACCAATTTCAAAAATAATATTATAAAGTAAAATATGTTTTTTTCAATTTTATTTAATTGATGTCGCTTTTAACAGTACTGTATTAAACATACTTTATTAAATAATAACAAGAATACAAAATTAAAATTTGTTCTAATTTCTATCGAACAATTCGAACAGGTATACAGGTCTAGGGATATATTAGCTAATTAAAAACTCTTAAAAATGTACAAGAGATATTCAAGCATATAGAGAAAGATTATGGATCGTCATCAATGATGACGATCATTATAGACTTTCACACAGACTTTCACCACTGCTCAACATAAACCTTATCAATGAACGACGCAAAACACGATCCTAGGCCACCTGCATCTATTGCCTTATGTATTTGTCATTAAATTAAGTGGACGCTTGCCCTACAATTCTCTTTCATCCGTTATTTCATTACTGTTTATAAGTCTACTGCTGCTCATAAGGAGATAATTCACATCGAAGCCACGCATGACAGACGGGGTGGCTGCCGGGATCCTGCTGCCCACCCCCCTTGCATTTCACTCTTTGCCTTCAACGACAACCGCGGGTCGATATTTTTTTACTGTATTCGAACAGGTATACAGGTCTAGGGAAAGCGACCAGTATCACTGCGACTTAAAATATATATTGTGATCGCCGTTATGGCTATAGTTCACCCTAAGCCTTTAGTGAATAGGAGGAGTTGCTTAGCAGTGAGCAATTTCGCTTCTTCTGGGCGGAGTACATTGTTTCCTAGATGAGTGTCACGTATGCGCATTAAAGGTCCGCAATCACTTAGGATGTGCAGAGGCGTTTCTTCCGTTGTGGAACAAAACATTAAATTGCTTATACCCAGGATGGACATGTGCTTTTTAAGACAACAGTGTCCAGTTAGGGCTCTTGCCAGAATGCGTTGTTTATTTTTACTTAATCCCAGGGCTTTTGAAGCGAATTTACGATCAAAACCCTGGATTAAGATTTTAGAATGTTTTAAACCCGGTGTGTCAGACCAGATCAGTGATTTATTTTGATAAAAATTTCAATCGGGCTGGGCTTCTTGAGATTCTACAAAATTGTGTACTTTTTGAGCCCTCCCGTGCAAGTTTGTCGGCAAATTAATTGCCAACAATACCCGCGTGACCCGGAACCCATCTAAAGACGACCCTAATGTTACATCCCAGGGCGTTTAAGTGGTTCACGCAGTCTCCGACTAGCTTCGAGTTCACTAAGTTTGACCTCAGCCCTAGCAGTGCTGCTTGACTATAGTCAGAGTTTATATAAAAAATTATATGGTAGACGTAGCGTTTTTTGCAGATTGATTTCCGCACACGGAAGTATGGCAAAAATTTCTGCCTGAAAGATAGAGGTGAATCAACCCAAATTCATACTAAGTTTGAATTTGGGGCGCTCCCAATAAATTTTTGACCCCTTTTTTGACCCATCGGTATACCATATGAGGCTACCGACCTCACAAACAACATGGTTATTCTGAGATCATGCATAAGACAGGTGTTTCCTTAATTGAGTCGAGCATGGATCTCAATCTGTAGGAGAACAAGCTCAGACCGTCCTGGGCGTTAATCCTATACAAACTAGCCTTCGCCTCCTTGTCTAGATAAAGAACAAGGGGCGCTAAGCATAGAAGTGCATAAAGAGAAGCTCCAGGCGATGACCGCATAGCTCCAGTTGCCATTAAGCAGGCAGTCCTTTGTAGACTATTTAGTCTGTCCGCAGTAGTCTTTTGGTTGGCTTTTTTATACCAGATAATACAGGTGTAGGTGAGAATCAGCCTCAATATGCTGTTGTACAGCCATAGGACCGTACTGGGACGCAAGCCTCAGTAGTTCCCGACCAAACGACTGAACGTACCTAAAGCAATTTTTGCCTTATGGCATATGTGGCTAAGGTGTGGTTTACACGTTTGTTTTTGGTCGATTGCTACGCCCAAGAACTTAACTTCAGTGGAAAATGGTACTTCTTTACCATTGAGTTTTGATGTGACTAATTTGTCCAACCATCTCTTTTTGTAAAGGATATTGTAAGAGTTTTATCAACATTAACTGATAAACTGTCATCCCTACACCAGTAATTTATGGTGCTTAGGGCTCTTTGTATGATTGGCGATAAAATACTTTGGCAAAAGCCCCTCGCAATGATCACAAGGTTTTCAGCATAACCCAGTTTGTCAATGCGTAGGTCTGCCATCTTGTACAATAGTTGATCAACCGCAAGGGTCAAAAGAAGGGGTGACAAAAACACCTCCTTGTGGGCAGACTCTTGTAGTTGCAAACTTAATCGGAGTTTGAAAAAGCGATATTTTTGCCTTTCTATTTGAGATCATCGACTTCACCCACCTGATGGTGTGAGGTCAACATATTCAGATGTCAAGCCCTCAATCAGCAGTGATGTGGGGCTACTTTCGAAGGTGCCCTCAATATCTAGAAAGGCACAAAATGCTATTTCTTTATTCTCCACTGCTTTTTCGACCCTATCAATAACACTAATCAGCGCTGTTTCCGTAGATTTGCCTCTGCGGTAAGCGTGCTGGTAGTAAGCATACAGTTTTGTTGTCCCGAGAAATTTTGGCACGGCCGGTGTACAGAGCATCACCAGTGCTGTGATCTGCATAACAATGAATGTTGCAAGTTTGCAACATATTTATTTATTCCTCCTTATTTCTTTTAAATAACATTACCCCTACACTAAGATTTTCTCTGGTATCGTGGGGGCAGTTTACAAACATAAATTGCACAAGGACAAACATCCAGACCCGGAACAACTATTTGTAGGCCGTACAAATACTTGACCCGTGCGGGATTAGAACCCGCGACCCCCAGCGCAGCCACTTATTGCTAAGCCACTGCGCCACGGAGTCGTCGATATCATTGGTATGCAGAAGAAACAGCGTTGGTGATAGCACGCAGCCTTGTGGAACACCTGTGTCAACCCTGGAGCACATATCCTGAGCACAATTAAGGGGATACCGTCAGGGCCATTCGACTTGTGGATGTCCAGGGATAGGAGTGCTTTGCGAACCAAGCGCTGTGTAAACTGCACCTCCGGCATGGAGCATTTACACTGCGGGATAGTTGGCGGCGTACTCCCCCCATCATCGAGAGTCGAGTTGGACGCAAAGAAAGAGCCTAGTAGTAGTGATGCAACAGATCTGTTTCTGTTTCCGCAGGTTTTATAACGGAATTTTGAACGGAACTCAGCGACGCATCCATATAAATAGATTTATTGTATTTTTAGTTCATTAGAAATTATAGTCGTGTTTTTCTCCGGTTAAACAAAGTTTTTAATAAATGCCTTTGGTAAAACTTAGATTTGCAAATTAATTAAGTAGCAGTTATGTTTGTGTGAAGTTTATATTATTTATTTTTTACTTGAAGTTTGTATTAATTATTTTTAAAGAAACTTTAATGAGTATTTTGGATTCAAAGTTTATTTACGTCGTACTTTCGTGATAGGGCTGTACTAAATTACCTACTCGCTAAACCTAAATCTGGCTCTTTAATGGGTTTGCCCAAATTTCAGTGCCCATTTAGCTTTGGTGTATAGGTGGTACGCAGCATCGCCCGTGAGCAATTAGAATCGCATGTGAAGAACACTGGAACAGAACGTTAGGTGTAAATACGGCCAAACTACTTTTCATAAAATATAACTTACCGCTACTTAATTTTGAATGTTAATTAAAAGTTTTATTTGTAATTTTTAGTAAGTATTATTTCCGTTTCCGCATCCGTTTCTGTTTCCGTTTCTGCAAAAAATATTTTTAACATCTGTTTCCGTTTCTGCTTCTGATATGACACTTCCGTTGCGTCACTACCTAGCTGATCGGCTTTATTCTTTGGGGCATGGGCCAGTTAGTCGTCCTCCCTGTGTAGAGATGGAAGAGATGGCTGACAGAAATTTCCCTGGACAGCCTTGGTCAGAGACCAGATTGCCCGTGCATTCAAGAAGAAAGGCGAACTAGTTTCTCGCCAATGCTGCTTATGTGCTTTGATTTTGCCTTGGCAGTGAAGTCCTTTTGAAGGACCTGGAGGCGGAAGTATACTTCTTTTTTAGAGCGCTGGTGTTTAAATCCCGCGACGTTGATGCGTCAGCCCAGACTTGGTAGCACTCCTGCTTATAGCGTGATGCTATTTTACAGGAACGACCAAACCATGGCTGAGATTTACCTCCGATGGGCACCATAGAGGAAGGAATAAAAAGTTCCATACCCTGAAGTACCACATCAGCGACAGAATTAGCAACAACGCTGGGATCGTCAGGTGAGAAGCAAACCCGCTCCCAAGGGTAGGATGCAAAGAAAGACCGCATCCTATCCCAATCGGCTGACGTATAGTGCCAAACACGGCGGCAGCCTACAGAATGCAAAAGCGATTTCAGCGCGAGCAACACCACACTCCGGACAAGACAATGGTCCGAGGAGCCTAAAGGGGCGTCGACGGTAATTTTATATCCGTCCGGAGAGAGAGGTCAGCAGAAGGCCTAACAGGGAGGGCGTATGATCCTCCACATCTGGAATGCGCGTAGGCAAAATAACCAGCTGTGTCAGAGACCATATGACAAGGCAAAATCATGAACAGATCTCCCCGCATGATTGGTTAAACGTGAATCAAGCCACTCGGCATGCTGGGCGTTAAAATCGCCGAGGATCACGATCTCTGCGGAGGGGATCTGCTGTAGCAAAGAATCTATAGCCATTTGGACGTGGTCGAAGAGTCGGTCTGTTTCGGTATTACCGCTATGAGAAGGCTCCCGTACGTGCGGATGGTCGTCGGTGTCTACGCGTAGCCATAGTATGGACAGGTCCAAACCTTTAAGACTGCTGAGGTGTCGAGAACAGAGATCCTCTCCGACCTCTCTGACTCTTTACGCAAACTCCAGCCCGGGACACAAAGGAGTGTTCCAGTTTGTACCCCGGGTAGGGGAGATACGAAACATCAGCCGGAGAGGACACCTGCGTCTCGGTCGGAAAGATCAGAGCCGGCCTCGCCGTCTCAAGATGGTAGTGGACGGCGTTTAGGTTA